AATTTCATCTTACCGAGCACGGGCGTGCTGTGGAGCACGGCTGGGGCGTGCTAGCCTTTAAATTGCAAGACTAATCTTTGCTTTTAAAACAGGGGAGTGCTTCAGAGCACGTTTAGGGCATGCTAGAGTTTGACCCTCGAAGCAATTTCCCTTTTTTTGATGCACGGGAGTATTGATGAGCATGGCAAGGGCGTGCTAGAGCCTGTACCTCAACTTGTACCTGAAAGAACTTGACTGAAAATAGAAGAACAAACATGGTGAAAAATTTGGGAATAATTATAACAAAAATAAACTAAAAATAGGAAGGTTAAGGAAAAGAATATGTGTTGTCTCCCACAAGCGCTTTTGTTTAACGGCGTTAAGCTCGGCGCACTAAACCCAATTTAGGCTAGGCAAGACTTATAGTGGTTTTGACTGGATCAGAGTCTCTATTTTGGTAAACTTTCAAACGTTGAGCATTGACTTTGAAACTCCGATCACCATCCACTATTTCAACTACCCCATGTGGAAAAATTTCTTTGATCGTGAATGGTCCAGACCACCTAGAGCGCAATTTACTTGGAAAAAGACGAAGTCCAGAGTTATAGAGTAATACCTGTTGGCCTACCTTTAGATTCCTTAGGATAATATGTTTATCATGCCATTGTTTGGTCCTTAGGATAATATGTTTATCATGCCATTGTTTGGTGCGGTCTTTATAGATTTTGGCATTCTCATAAGCATGGAGTCTCATTTCATCTATCATATTCAATTGAAGCAACTTCTTTTGACCAACCTCCTTAGCATTAACGTTAAGAAACTGGATTGCCTAATATGCCTTGTGCTCTAACTCAACAGGGAGGTGACAAGCCTTGCCGTAGACAATTCGATATGGAGACATACAATTAGTGTTTTAAATGCAGTTTTATTCACCCAAAGAGCGTCATTGAGCATCTTGGACTAGTCCTTCCTTGATTGGCCAACTGTGGTCTCCAGTATCTTCTTGATTTCCCTATTAATGACTTCCACTTGTCCACTTGTTTAAGGGGTGATATGGGGTACCTACACGATGAGTAACACCATATTTTGAAAGAAGGGAATCCAAGTACTTGTTGTAAAAGTGCTTACCTCTGTTTATGATTATCGCTCTTGGAACCATGACATGTGAAAATATGTTTCTTGATGAAGTTCATTACACTCTTGGCATCATTATTGGGAAAGGCAACAGCTTCCGCCCATTTTGAGACATAATCCACTGCTGCTAGCATGTATTGGTTGGAATAAGAGGATGGGAATGGCCCCATGAAATCCAAGCCCCAAACATCAAAGATCTCCACTTCAAGGATATTGTTCAATGGCATCTCACGTCGCTTGGAGATATTACCTAACCTTTTACAACGATTACAAAGGCAAACAAAGTTAAAAGCATCCTTAAATAAGTTGGACCAATACAAACCGCTTTCTAAAATACGTGCTGCCGTCTTGCTTGCTCCAAAGTGTCCTCCACATTCCATTGAATGACAGAATCGAAGGACACTTTTCATTTCCTCTTTCGATATACATCGTCGAAAAAGATGTTCAATACAATACTTGAACAAAAAAGGCTCCTCCCAATATTTAAGATCATGAAAAAAATTTTTCTTTTGTTGACAAGAAAGATTGGAAGGAGTAATCTTGCAAGCAAGGTAGTTAACTATATCAGCATATCATGAGGCTTGTGCTTTAGCTAGAAGAAGAAGATGTTCATGGGGGAATTCTTCATTAATTTGCAATTCTGCTTGCTCTTCTTCCCCTAACTCAAGCCTGGATAAATGATCCGCTACAAGGTTCTCAGTTCCTTTTTTATCACGAATCTCTAAATCAAATTCCTGTAAAAGAAGAACCATTCCTCGTAAAAGGAAGAACACCCCAACGAATTAATCTAGGCTTTGCATCTTTCTTTCTAATAAATACTTAAATAGCAGAATGATCGTGTACACTAGTGTGTGTGCAATTCAGATAAGCCCCTAAATTTATCAAAAGCAAACAATAGCTTAGAAGTTCTTTTTTTCAAGTGGTGGGCATATTCAAATTGTGCATCATTCAATGTGCGACTAGCAATGATAAATGACCATGCAAATTTTCTTTTTCCTTTCTTTACCTAAAGAAGCAGCTCCAATAGCATGAATCACTAGCATCACACATAAAGTTCAAAGGTGAAGACTCCAATCTGGTGGCTAGCAATGAATACGGTGGCTGAAGTCAACTCTTTTCTTCACCTGTTAAAAGCATTCAAACACTTTTTGTCAAATCAAATAGGGAACATCTTTTAACTAATAAATTACAAAGAGGTTTTGTTATTTTGGAGAAATCCTTGATAAATCTCCCTATAAAATTTGCATGGCCAAGAAAGCTTCTTACTCCTTTTACTGAATTTGGAGGAGGTGTAGATTTTCAAATTACTCAATCTTGGCTTTTAAGTCTAACTTCAATCCCTTTTTGTGAGATTTTATGCCCTAAAAACAATACCTTCACTAACCATAAAATGAAAATGATATTTTTCCCAATTCAAAACAAGGTTAGTGTCCTCACATCGCTGCATTACTAAAGAGAGGTTATAAAGACAAGAATCAAAAGAAGAACCAAAAATAAAAAAATCATCCATAAATATTTCAATGAACTTCTCAACCATGTCAGAAAATATAGACATCATGCATCTTTGAAAGGTTGTCGGAGCATTGCACAACCCAAAAGGCATTCTCCTATAAGCGAAAGTATCATAAAGGCAAGTGAAAGTGGTTTTCTCTTGCTCCTCGGGAGCAATAAGTATTTGAAAATACCCTGAATAACCATCTAAAAAGCAATAATAGGGATAACATGTAAGTCTTTCAATCATTTGATAAATAAAAGCTAAAGGGAAGTGATCTTTGCGTGTTGCTTTGTTCAATTTCCTATAATCAATAAACACACGCCAACCTATGACAGTTCTAGTTGGAATTAACTCATTATTTTTGTTAGAAATAACATTATTTTTGTTAGAAATAACTGTCATACCTCCTTTCTTTGGGACAACTTGAACAGGACTTACCCAACTACTATCGAAAATTGGATAGATAATGTCAGCATCCAAAAGTTTTATGATCTCAGCTTTGACTACCTCTTTTATGTTTGGGTTCAATCTTCTTTAATGCTCAATTGAAGGTTTGTAATCTTCTTCCATCAAGATCTTGTGCATTCACACACTTGGACTTATTCCCTGCAAATCTGAAATTGACCATCCTAGGGCTTTTTTTATGTTTTCATAGGACCTGCAATAACCTCTCCTCTTGATCAAGTGTTAAATGAAAAGAAATAATAACAGGAAAAGAATTATTCTCACCTAAGAATGCATGTTTTAAATGAGATGGAAGTTGTTTCAGTTCTTATTTTGGTGATTCACTTTCTTTTCATCTATGATGCTTGGATTATTAATGTCATTTTTATCTTTAATATACAAAGTGTCCTTAACACATTCATCAACAACATCAATCGTAAAACAATCATTCTAATCCATGGGAAGTTTACAAGATTTAAGAACATCAAAAACAACCTCCTCTTGACCTACCCTCAAGGTTAATTTACCTTAATATACATCAATCAATGCTCTTGCAGTTGCAAGAAAGGGCCTTCCGGCCTTCCAAGGATTAAGGATCCTTCTCTATCTTCATCAAGGTCAAGAATAGCAAAGTCAACTGGAAAGATAAATTTACCTACCTTGACGAGCACATCTTCTACAATTCCTCTTGGATATTTGATTGATCGATCTGCCAACTGCAGAGACATCATTGTTGGTTTTAGCTCTCTAATCCCTAGCATCTTAAAAACTTCATAAGACAAAAGATTAATGCTAGCACCTAAATCTGCTAATGCTTTTTCAAAATCAAGATTTCCAATATTACAAGGGATAGATTGCACTACACTCCTCTGTCAACATTACCATCCCTTGATCATCAATCTTCCTTTTCTTGCTCAGGATCTCTTTTAGGAATTTTGCATAGCTGGGCATTTGAGTAAGGGTTTCAGCAAAAGGTATGTTGATTTGAAGCTTTTTGAATGAAGCTTTTTGAAGACATCAAGAAATTTGAGGAAACTCTTGTCATCTTGTGCTTTCTTTAACCTTTATGGGAAAGGAACAGGTGGAACATAGGGTGTCACTTCCTCTTTCTCTTCTAGGTCAATGATGGGGATTTTTTTTTTGCTCTTCCTTTTCTTTCTCCATCCTGGGTGGATCCTCCAATTTTTTTGCCACTCTTAAGGTGATAGCTTGTACCTGTTCTTTAGGAATTTTTTTAGTGTTACTAGGCAACGTACCTTAGGGTTGGGAGGCCATCATGTTTGCAAACTGCCCTAGTTGAATCTCTAAGTTCCTTATCACAACTTGTTGGATTTTATTGTTTTCTTGGGTTTCGTTCATGAAGTCCATGTGCGATATCGAGAGGGCAGTAAGGAGATCATCATGAGACTTTTTCTCTTGAGGTAGAAAACCTGTGGTGTGTACAAGACGTTGTTTGGATTCCCATACGAAAGATTACGAAAGAGTTAGGGTGAATTCCTCAACCTGTTATCATCAAGAGTTAGAGTACGGGTATTCTTCCTTCTTGAATTCATCTCACATTTAAGTTTCACTTGCTTCCAAAGTTTTAAAGAATCCAACATGCACTCTCCAATTCCATGTTGTCTATTACACCTGTCACATGCTTGCACAATAGAATTAACAGAGTTAGTAGTCAACAAATCTAAACTTCCTTACCATATTGTCCACTTTGGCATTGAGTGTGATAATGGCATCAATCTCAAAAACTCTTGCAAGCTTCTTCCTATTAGAATTGTTTTGATAATGGCTGTTGCTTTGATAATGGCTATTGCTTGCCATCTCCTCCATCAAGTCATATGCCTCGTCAATTTCTTTTCTTTCAAAAGATCCACCTGCAGCTGCATCTAGAGTAATCTTAATGTTAGAAGATAATGCATTATAAAAAGTTTGTACCTTCAACCACTTAGGCAAGCTGTGATGTGGGCACTTTCTCAATAAGTCTTTAAATCTCTCTTAAGCTTCGTACAAACTCTCTTGACCATGGTGGACAAACGTCATTATCTCATTGCACAGTTTTGTGGACTCGGAAGATGGAAAGAATTTTGCTAAAAATTTTTGGGCTAATTCCTCCCATGTTGTAAAACTTCCAGCAAGGCATGATTGTAACCAGGATTGTGTTTTGTCCCTAAGAGTGAAAGGAAAGAGTCTTAATTTTATGGCATCCTCAGAAACTCCATTTTGTTTGAAAGTATCGCAAATTTCTAAGAAATTAATGATATGGGCATTAGGATCTTCACTAGGTAAACCTCCATATTGAATCCATATTGAATTGAGGTGGAAAGCATTTGGATAATCGCAGGTTTAATTTCAAAATTGTTAGCTTCCACCTTAGGTCTAGTGATACTTGAGGTTGTTCCATTGAGAGAAGGTGTCGTGTAATCTCGCAAGGTGCAAACATAAGGTTCAGGTTCGTTCTGAGGGTGAACTTCATCGCCCATGTTTGCTTGTTGTTCTGGTTTGTTCTCATGTTTTCTTCTAGCCGCGTTGTTCCAACAATAAGTCTTTTCGATTTCTGGATCAAAGATCAAGGGTTCAGTCCTACCTGATCTTCTTTGCATAAACTTTTTAAAAAATTAATTAAAAATAAAAATGAATGTCTAAATTAATAATTAGGTAATTAGTATTGATATTGGTAACGCCAATCCCCGGCAACGGTGCCAAAAAACTTAACAGTGATTTTTCGCAAGTATATGAAAATTGCAACAAGTAATATAGAATGAGTAGAGTATGGTTTCCACAGAGATTGTATACCAAGTACCAAAATTATGTTAACCTATTATTATTTAAACGGCAATAAGGGGAATTATTTTAAGAATACCAAGTACCAAAATTATGTTAACCTATTATTATTTAAACGGCAATAAGGGGAATTATTTTAAGAAATTAAATTAAACAGATAAAAGAGAACAAAAAGAAATCAAGCAACAATATTTGACGAAAAAAAATCAAGGATTTAAAAGCTACTAGGGATTGTGACTTCACTTAATTCTATCCAGTTTATTTTATTAGTTCATTAATCAATTTTAATTTTTCAAATAGGGGAAACAACCCTAAAATCACTAACAAGCTCTCTCGATGTATTGTTAGCTATTTTAACCCGGTCTAATTACCTATCTTCCAATAACCCTATTCTTCTCAACTAAACCGCAATCAACATGAATTAAAATCATTAAGTCTTATGGTTTGTTTTGTGATTCATAACCTAAGGTCCATTAACTTATGAAAACCCTCAATGAGTCAAACCATATAGCTTCCGCATCAACAAGTTATTATTCTCATGTAATTCATTACCTTTTTCATATGAAAAACCCTTCTCCCGATAGTGATTAATGAAATAAATCAATCCAGGGGAGAAACTCTGCCCGGAAGCATTAAGTTCAATAATTAAGCTTAATAATAAATTATACTTTGAACGAAGAAAAACAAATCTAATATTATAAATTGGAAAAGAAATTAAGCTACATCAAATCCCTAGTATTAGAGTTTAATACGATATAGTAATTAAATAAAACTCAATAATACTTCATAAAAATTCTATAATAAATTAGAATAATGAAAGAATGAAACAAGATTAAGAGTTTAGAGATAAAAACTAGTTAACAATTAATTCTGGACTGCTTCCTTGAATCTTGGCACAAATCTTAAACACTTGATGTCTTGGAGAAAGAGAAGAACAATAGAACAAAAGTTATCAAAACTGAAGATGTCTTTACAATGAATGAGTTCTCTTTTTATATAGACTTCTTGGGAGAAAATCCGACTTCGTTTAGGAAATAGAGTCCTCATTAAGTAGAAATCTTTTTGGAAATAGGAAACTGTTTAGGCTTTGGATTTATGTTTAGGCTTTGGATTTATTCTCAATTAGGACTCTTCCATCCGCCTAAATAGGATTAGAACTTGATTTGTACGTCAGGAAAGTATCTTAGGTGGGCCCATGTAAGTAATAGGGACAGGCTGGCGTTCTCGACTCAAAACAGAACTTGATTTGCAGCACGGGCGTGCTGTGCGGCACGGTCAGAGCATGTCGAAGCCTAAGTTCTAAGGATGGTTCAGCACGGGCGATGCTCAAGGGCATGTCTAGAGAAGAATATGTGGCACGGGAGCTCCATATAGCACGACTAGGGAGTGCTAGGCTTTGAGTCTCCAGGATGAAATGCAGCACGGGCCGTGCTTAGGCAAACACGCCTTTGGGTTGATGTCCTCTTTTGGCGCGGGCGTGCCATATAGTGCGGCTTGGGCATGCTAGAGTATATGTCTCCACTTGATTTTTCTTGAATCCAGTACGGGCATGCTGATGTGCACGGGCAGGGCATGCTAGAGCCTGAGTGTTTTGCTTTATTTTGCTCTTTTCTGTAGAGCCTGAGTGTTTTGCTTTATTTTGCTCTTTTCTGTGCCAAAATCCTATGAATTTTATCAAGTGAATTATAATTCAAGGAAGCTTTGATCAAAAACATAAATAAAAACTAATTAGAGTAATTAAAAATACTAAAAATCCTAATAAAAACTATATTAAAAATACTAAAAAAACCACACCTATAAGAAATCATTCACATTTCCGTAATCATAATAATTCATACTTTAACCTTAATCCATTTACTACTCAAATCATAAATTGAGCAATTAAGCACCATATATTTCCACATTTCACCTTCTTACAGACACACACATATATAAAGCAAACTTTTTTTTTCCTAGAAAGTTGACACGTGGTATATCCATTTGGCATTTTAATTTGACATGTACCGTATTCCTCCAATTAGGCTTCCATTTGGCATGATTTGATTTGAATATATTTACAATTAGTGTTTCTAATTTGATTTGGTTTGATCATTCAATGTATTGTTTTGGTTTGAATTTATTTTTAATTAGTGTTTTTGATTTGGTTATTTAATGTATTAATGTCTTTCAGTAATTATTATTAATTATTAGTTTTTAAAAATTAATTTTTAAAAAATGATAAAGTTTAATAACAAACGTTTCCGTGTATTAATGGCTTCAAATTTGTGAAGTTACAAAAACATTTCAACGCTTTATTAGTGTATTAATGTTTTTAAAGTTTGATTTGGTTATTTGTGTAGTTCTATTAGTGTTTCCGTTTAATTTTTGTTTTAAATGGTGTAGTAATGCACTTTTTTTAAATTTTAAATTGTTCACTCTCAATAAACTCTTTAACTTTGTTAAAAATACTATATATATAAATTGTATCACTATATATTTTTTGACAAAAGTGTCTTGGTCCCTCCTTTTAAATATATTATTTGTTTTTTTCTTAAAAGTTTGTAATTTTTTGCATTTAAACTATTTCCACTAATAGGGTAAGTAGTTTTTACTCAATTTTTTTTTTCTCCCTTTTTAAATATTATTGCCTAAGTTATCAAATATAAGTGAAAAGTACGATATAATTGAAAATTTGAATACAAATAGAGATGATTGAAAAAAAAAAAAAAAAAAAAAAAAAAAAAAGTGAGGGTAAAGGAGTCTGGCCATAGGTAAAAAAAAAAAAAAAAAAGTGAGGGTATAAGGAGTCTGCCATTAGGTGCTTTATAGCCATGTCTATGTTTTGAAGCTTGAAGAACTCATCTGCCATGTCTCTGGCCTTCTCAGCTGCCACCTTGGTCATATCCATGATACTTTGCCCAGTTCTTGATTCAAACATGATCGGAATTAAGAATTCAATCAAGAACCAGAAGAGGCACGACCAAGAGGAGGCACAAATCGATCTCTCAGAAAACTCAGAATCAGAGGAAGCCTATGGGGAAAGTGCCAAGAAGAAGGATCGGTTTGATGAGACTGAGCGAAATAGAGTTCCGGATTCAAACATGATCAGATTTCTCAGAAAACTCAATCAAGAACCAGAGGAAAATCGCACAGATCTCAGAATCAGAAGAAGCCAATGGCAGAGATGTCAAAAAGCGGAATCCTTGGTCATATCTATGATACTTTGCCCAGTTCTTGATTCAGACATGATCGGAATTCAAAAATTCAATCAAGAACCAGAGGAGGCACAAATCGATCTCTCAGGAAACTTAGAATCAGAGGAAGCCCATGGAGAAGATGCCAAGAAGAAGAATAGATGAGATTAAGCGACAATAGGGTTCCGGATTCAAACATTATCAGATTTCTTAGAAAATTCAATCAAGAACCAGAGGAAAATCGCACAGATCTCAGAATCAGAACAAGCCAATGGAGGAGACGTCAAAAAGCAGAATCAATTTGATGAGGTTCAGCGAAAACAAAGTGGGGGATTCAAATACAATCAAATTTCTCAGAAAACAATCAGGAAACAGAGGAGTCAAGAAGGATCGATTTGATGATATTGAGTGAAAACAAACCGCCTGTAAGGAATATCTTTAAGATTGTGATCAGGAGAAGATTTATAGGATGTTAAAGGAAACTTGGGTTGCGTTTTAAACAATAAACCCTCAGTTTCCGTTTAAGATTTCTCATTTCTGGCGGCAATCTATATCATATCTACCTATTATTATCTATTATAAATAATTGAGTTTGGAATATTCTAAACTAAATTTAGAATATCTATCTATTATTATATATGTATATATGTATTTATAATATCTATCTATATAGATTTATATATGTATATAAATACATATATATAATTAAATATTTCAAATTTTTAAATTTTTTTTAAATTTAATATTTCAAATTTTTAAATTTTTTTAAATTTATTTTTAATAAATATAATATGATAATGAGACATTTCAAATTTTTAAATTTTTTTTAAATTTATTTTTAATAAATATATATGATAATGAGACTTTTTAAAATTTTTATATTCTATTGTGATGCTTACTTGTGCTCGCATTAAAGGCGTTTTATGAATTTTTTATGCAGTTTCACTTAGCATTTATTTCATTTGCAATGAATTTTATCGAAAGAAAATTCTTCAAAAATAAAATTTCATATTTGAATCTCCTTATAAATCTTAACAATTTTAATAGAATTTTGTTGAATATAACTAATTCAATGATGTAAAATTTCAAATGAAATATAAAAAT